AAAGAATACATATTCTATTCATACAAATCTATCCTAAACATGTTGTCGGCATTAAATAACCCATTGAAGTTGATATGCCGTAAAACAAAATAAACCAAACCAAACTAAACCAAAGAATACATATTCTATTCATACAAATCTATCCTAAAAAAATCTTGTCGGCATTAAATAACCCATTGAGGTTGATATGCCGTAAAACAAAATAAACCAAACCAAACTAAACCAAAGAATACATATTCTATTCATACAAATCTATCCTAAAAAAATTTTGTCGGCATTAAATAACCCATTGAGGTTGATATGCCGTAAAACAAAATAAACCAAACCAATCTAAACCAAAGAATACATATTCTATTCATACAAATCTATCCTAAAAAAATTTTGTCGGCATTAAATAACCCATTGAGGTTGATATGCCGTAAAACAAAATAAACCAAACCAAACTAAACCAAAGAATACATATTCTATTCATACGAATCTATCCTAAAAATTTTGTCGGCATTAAATAACCCATTGAGGTTGATATGCCGTAAAACAGAATAAACCAAACAAATGTAAACCAAAGAATACATACTCTATTCATACAAATCTATCCTAAAAATTTTGTCGGCATTAAATAACCCATTGAGGTTGATATGCCGTAAAACAGAATAAACCAAACAAATCTAAACCAAAGAATACATATTCTATTCATACAAATCTATCCTAAAAATATTGTCGGCATTAAATAACCCATTGAAGTTGATATGCCGTAAAACAAAATAAACCAAACCAAACTAAACCAAAGAATACATATTCTATTCATACAAATCTATCCTAAAAATGTTGTCGGCATTAAATAACCCATTGAAGTTGACGTGCCGTAAAACAAAATAAACCAAACCAATCTAAACCAAAGAATACATATTCTATTCATACAAATCTATCCTAAAAATGTTGTCGGCATTAAATAACCCATTGAGGTTGATATGCCGTAAAACAAAATAAACCAAACCAATCTAAACCAAAGAATACATATTCTATTCATACAAATCTATCCTAAAAAAATGTTGTCGGCATTAAATAACCCATTGAGGTTGATATGCCGTAAAACAAAATAAACCAAACCAATCTAAACCAAAGAATACATATTCTATTCATACAAATCTATCCTAAAAATGTTGTCGGCATTAAATAACCCATTGAGGTTGATATGCAAACAAAATAAACCAAAACCAATCTAAACCAAAGAATACATATTCTATTCATACAAATCTATCCTAAAAAATGTTGTCGGCATTAAATAACCCATTGAGGTTGATATGCCATAAAACAAAATAAACCAAACCAATCTAAACCAAAGAATACATATTCTATTCATACAAATCTATCCTAAAAATGTTGTCGGCATTAAATAACCCATTGAGGTTGATATGCCGTAAAAACAAAATAAACCAAACCAATCTAAACCAAAGAATACATATTCTATTCATACAAATCTATCCTAAAAAATGTTGTCGGCATTAAATAACCCATTGAGGTTGATATGCCGTAAAACAAAATAAACCAAACCAATCTAAACCAAAGAATACATATTCTATTCATACAAATCTATCCTAAAAAATGTTGTCGGCATTAAATAACCCATTGAAGTTGATATGCCATAAAACAAAATAAACCAAACCAATCTAAACCAAAGAATACATATTCTATTCATACAAATCTATCCTAAAAATGTTGTCGGCATTAAATAACCCATTGAGGTTGATATGCCATAAAACAAAATAAACCAAACCAATCTAAACCAAAGAATACATATTCTATTCATACAAATCTATCCTAAAAATGTTGTCGGCATTAAATAACCCATTGAGGTTGATATGCCTTAAAACAAAATAAACCAAACCAATCTAAACCAAAGAATACATATTCTATTCATACAAATCTATCCTAAAAATGTTGTCGGCATTAAATAACCCATTGAGGTTGATATGCCGTAAAACAAAATAAACCAAACCAATCTAAACCAAAGAATACATACTCTATTCATACAAATCTATCCTAAAAATGTTGTCGGCATTAAATAACCCATTGAAGTTGATATGCCATAAAACAAAATAAACCAAACCAATCTAAACCAAAGAATACATATTCTATTCATACAAATCTATCCTAAAAAATTTGTCGGCATTAAATAACCCATTGAAGTTGATATGCCGTAAAACAAAATAAACCAAACCAATCTAAACCAAAGAATACATATTCTATTCATACAAATCTATCCTAAAAATATTGTCGGCATTAAATAACCCATTGAAGTTGATATGCCGTAAAACAAAATAAACCAAACCAAACTAAACCAAAGAATACATATTCTATTCATACAAATCTATCCTAAAAATGTTGTCGGCATTAAATAACCCTTTGAAGTTGATATGCCGTAAAACAAAATAAACCAAACCAATCTAAACCAAAGAATACATATTCTATTCATACAAATCTATCCTAAAAATGTTGTCGGCATTAAATAACCCATTGAGGTTGATATGCCGTAAAACAAAATAAACCAAACCAAACTAAACCAAAGAATACATATTCTATTCATACAAATCTATCCTAAAAATATTGTCGGCATTAAATAACCCATTGAGGTTGATATGCCATAAAACAATATAAACCAAACAGTACATATTCTATTCATACAAATCTATCCTAAAAATGTTGTCGGCATTAAATAACCCATTGAGGTTGATATGCCATAAAACAAAATAAACCAAACCAATCTAAACCAAAGAATACATATTCTATTCATACAAATCTATCCTAAAAATGTTGTCGGCATTAAATAACCCATTGAAGTTGATATGCCATAAAACAAAATAAACCAAACCAGACTAAACCAAAGAATACATATTCTATTCATACAAATCTATCCTAAAAAATGTGTTGTCGGCATTAAATAACCCATTGAAGTTGATATGCCATAAAACAAAATAAACCAAACCAATCTAAACCAAAGAATACATATTCTATTCATACAAATCTATCCTAAAAATGTTGTCGGCATTAAATAACCCATTGAAGTTGATATGCCATAAAACAAAATAAACCAAACCAGTCTAAACCAAAGAATACATATTCTATTCATACAAATCTATCCTAAAAATATTGTCGGCATTAAATAACCCATTGAAGTTGATATGCCATAAAACAAAATAAACCAAACCAGTCTAAACCAAAGAATACATATTCTATTCATACAAATCTATCCTAAAAATGTTGTCGGCATTAAATAACCCATTGAAGTTGATATGCCATAAAACAAAATGAACCAAACCAAATATAAAAAAAAAAAAACCAACAAGATGCGGAAGAAGAACAGAAGAATAAACAAATAGATCCACTGTAAGGAAATGGAATGAAACAATAAACAAGAAAATAACAAAAAAAAAAAGAGAGATGTAAATGCATCTCTACCAGTTGTGATTCCTTTCCAAACTGACCACGTCAGTACCAGTCTCTCTTTCCTGCAAGTCATGAAAGAGATGCTCCCTGTAATCATCATACGCATTGATGGAATGAAACATTTCCACCATTGTAGTTACAGGTTGCTAATATTTGATTATGAACATATCCAATTGTCGTCCAAGGAAAAAACAAGAGGTGGATATGCTGATAGCTGATGGAACAATTTTTTTCATTCATCGACAGTTGGAGAGGACAAACAGTAACGATATATTTTTATGTATCAAGGAAAAAAAAAAAAAAAAAGAAAGTGGAAAAAGTTTTTGTGTGACATGTTTCCTTCTCCAGGACTAAATTAGACTAGGTTTATGTTGATGCAATTATACATGTGCATGAAGAAGAGGTGCTGAGAATTTTAAATTTATTTATTTTTTTAATGTGTTTTTAGGTCTATAATCTCAATAATTTTATGTAGATTCTTTTTCTTTTCATCACTTTTGGTATTAAATATCTGACATTGTGATAATAGAAGATCTGCCAAGAATGGTGAAATGCTGTAAGAACCTGGATGCAAATTTACTCTGGATGATCTTGTGATGAAAGCATTTTCCAGACATCTTTCTAGATATTTTCCAGATATTTTTATCTTAGTGAATTATTTTCTCTTATAGAGTAGCATTTTTTTAAAATCAAAATTGTGGTCAGTCTTGTTATGGTGAGCAACTAACGCATTTAATGTGTTTTGTATTCATACAAACGTTTATTTAAATTTTTTGAGGTTTCTCCAATGTATTCCTTGTGACAATTATTACAGGTAATAGAGTAAGTATTTGTCCTTCAAGTTTTAACTTTAGTTTTGTATTAAATGTTTTATTGCTTTAGACATACTTGTGACAAATTTTTTATGTTGAGTTTAGATAAATCCTCTTCAATTGTAGCTGTGATAGAGTTAGTGGGTAGAACAATAGTTTTTTTTTTTTTTTTTTTTTTTTTTTTATTGGGTTTGTCAGGAAGAACAGCTTTTCTATTTTGGGATATTTTATGAACTTTTTTTGCATAGAATATGCAATAGGGTATTGAAGGGTCTTGAAATTGTCTTCATACAATACAAATAAGCTAAAATTTGATATTGACGACCTGAAAAATGCATGAAACAGACTGTTGCCACTCAGTGTTGACCTCAGCATCCATTCTTATATTTACACATGCTCTATCTCTCGGATATTGAGCACTTTTACCCATTAGTTATGTTTTCTTTAAAACTATATTTTTTATAATTTATTATTCCCATGTTTTCTGTTGCATTTGTCCTTTGGAAGGTGTGCTTTTGATTTTTTTTTTTTTTTTACACACACACACACACACACACACACACACACACACTCTCTCCTCTTCTCCCTCTCCCAAAGCACTTGTTGGCATTTGCTATGCTGTTTTCTCAGTTTTTGTTTTACTGCATAAGTATCCCCACCCAGACACATGGGGGCACACACACATACACTTTATGGAGTTCTAATTAAAAGGCCATTTTCTAAATTGCCTGTTTGTATTTTCAGAAAACAATTTCTGTGAGTGTCCTTCGGGATGGCAAAGAAATTCGTTTGACATTGATTCCCAACAAATGGAGTGGACGGGGATTGTTGGGGTAAGTGAATTATTATTGAAATTTTCGTCCATTTGGACGCCTCTTATGGAATGATGTATGAAGAAGGAGTCGCTTCAGCAGCCAAGTTCCTCCCTCCAGCAGCCAAGTTCCTCTCCCTTTCTCTCTCTCTCTTCTCCTCCTTTCTCTCTCTTCTTCCTTTAGCTTTCTCTCCTCTCTCTCTCTCTCTCTCCTCTTTTACCTCTCTCTCTCTCTTCTCCTCCTTTACCTCTCTCTCTCTCCTCCTCCTCCTTTCTCTCTCTCTCTCTCTCTCCTCTCTTCTCCTCGCTTTACCTCTCTCTCTCTCTCTTCTCCTCGCTTTACCTCTCTCTCTCTCTCTTCTCCTCGCTTTACCTCTTCTCTCTCTTCTCCTCCTCTCCCTCCCCCCTTTACCTCTCTCTCCTCCCAAAACTTTTATGGATAGGACCATAAATAAAAATACCCATATATAAAAAAGAGGAAAACAAATCAACCCAACGGCAATAACTAGTACAATAGTGAATTTCATCAGACTTAGTACAAAAATAATGAAAAGTAAAAAAAAAAAAGAAGTCAGTTGCTGAAACCTCCTGATGAGTGGACTGAACAATTACTTTGTCTATGAAACCCGAGGTGCTGAATATAACATCAGTCAGCTGACAAATTTTATATTTATATTACTCACATACATACATACATACACATATATATATATATATATATATATATATATATATATATATATATATAGGCAGCAATTTTTAATTTTATATTATTTGCTACACACACACCCACTAGTTCTTTTGAATGATGCTCCATTCATTTTCAGGGATTGTTCTGTGTGTTAATAAAATCATTGTTTGTCAGAACTTGTCCATATTATTTAACTATATATATATATATATATATATATATATATATATATATATATATAAGTTTTGTGATGTTAATAATGTTTTTTTTTTTCTTTTTGCAGGTGTAACATCATTCCTGTGTAGGAAAGATTTCTTCAAAAAGTTGTTTTATTCTTCAATAAATGCTTTACTTGTTTTAAAGTTTGTTCTTTTAGTTTGTTTTTTTTTTTTTTTTGTTTTTTGTCTCTGCCAGATATATACCTATGTTGTGGGGTCTGCTTAAAATTTCTCTGACACCCACTTCCCAAAATCTAATTAAAGGATCAACCGGGATTTTTTTTATGGGCTTCTTGTTTAGGCTGTCATATGTCTGATTGAATAAATTACAAACATTATGTCTGCTTATTTTTATCATAATCCTTTCATATTCATGAATATTTTTCTGTGGATTACAATTAAGACAAGAAATGCATTTTAACAGTGAGAATAACTTTCATTTTCCAAGTACTTTCCATCTCTTTCTGAGATCATCATTAGGGGTGTAACTGGTAAAACAAAATCTGTGTAGCTATCCATAGTTTTTGCATATCGACCTAAATGGGTTATTTAATGCCAGCAAGATTTTTATTACTGGTAATATTTTTTTTAAATGTATTGTTCATATTTTCCTTTTTCAAAAATTTACTGCTGGTAATAATTTTTCCAAAAAAGCATTGCTGGTATTAAAACCTATTTTTTATACTTTCCTAGTGTTTTGAGCCACCCATTTTTTTATTGGGGGTGGAGTAACTATTTGCCCATATCTGGGACCCTAACAAGTGCTACCACCTCGGGTCAGGGGAAACCTGATAACACCAGCAATTAAGAGGTGGTTGCATGCTCCTTAGAACCTCCTGATCAAAGGCCTTGTTATTGGAAGAAGTTTAATGTCTTACCCAGAATGGTCTAGATGACTAGACAGCTGATCTAGCACTAACAGCTCAGTGAAGGAAAACTGGTTGGTCACGATACAGACCCTGAATGTTTATCTTAACAAATATTCTCTCAAGGAGGCCCCATTGCCTTGAATGCCTGCCAGGATCATCCCAGACTTCAAATGGAACTTGTATATATGATCCCTTGCTGAAGATGCTGGAAATAATGGTCTGTTCCTCATACTGTCCGAGTGAGTATCTGATTCCTCCTGCTATGCTCTATCTTTACAAGAGCCAATATTTGGCCGAAAATTGATTACTGCTGTCATTTATGGACTGGAGCTATCCTGTCTTCACTTTCCAGTCTTGTTACCATTCAGAAGCGATGAAGGGGGGTGAAGAATAATTTTCCCCCCTACAACCCATTTCCCCACAGTCTCTCGCTACTTAATTGCTATTTCTATGGAAGAAGTTCTGAGGAGCAACATTTCTTAGCTTCACCAATTCTAATCCTCAAAGTGAAGACCCACCATGTGACACATATTATAGCAAACTATCCTCATTCTCTTTGTATTCTTTGAATGAGGAATAATAAGTTCCACTTGAACAGCTTTACCCCATTTTGGGATGTCAACAAATGCTCATTGCCACTTTAGTAATGTCAACAAATACTCGTTGTCACTTTCGTAAATTCTCGTTGTAGTAGAGACTTTTTAGTCGCAGATACAACTAAAATAACGCTGTTGAACAATACTGGTGTCAGACGCCTTTGAAAAGCACTCGCACTGATAGTACTTGCTCAATAATATACACTCAAATAGTAATCCATATAGCGTTCAGATCACTATATGGATCTGAATAGAGAAATAGTATAATGAATAGAGTAGAGAATAGCAGTCTGTATAGTAATAGAGGATAAACTAGAAATAGTGATCATTTAGATGTCACGCTACTACCTACTTATGTGTTTCTCCCATGATCACGTGATCCACTTAATTGAATAATGGGATCGCCTATGTAGGGAGGATTCTTTCCATTCGTTTTCACTTTCACTTCCTGGACTCCGCCACCATGTTCTTGTGGTATTATTGTCTTGCTTGAGGGTAAAATGATTTTTTTAAAAAAAAAGGAGGGAAATAAAAGGGTTCAGATTGAAATTTTCTGAAGGTTACTCGGACCGAAAGATACCTGAAGATCGAAGAGCACTCGAGTCAAAGCGTTGTGATCATAACAACAATGAGAACAATAGTTTGGCTGTAAATAATAATAGAAACAAATTCTCATCCAGGACACTCAAACAGAAAAAAAAATAACTTTATTTAATGGTCATTCAGCCTGATCACACCCTATTTATATTTCAGTGGTATTGTAACAAGAAGCAATACTTGAATAAACAAGCATGCTTTACATCAGTGTTTCTCAATGTTGTCCAGGTCGACCACCGATGCTCCACATAGCATTTCTAATGGTCTGCTAAGAATTTGTAGCCATTTCACAAAAATGTATCTAAATTATTTATATTTTGAAGAATTAAAAAATATATTTTGTTCAATTACACATATGTCCATTATATTTGAAATTTTCGAAATTACATAGGTATTATGCAGTATTATATTTATTTTATTTTTATCATGTGTGTGTATATATATATATATATATATATATATATATATATATATATATATATATACACACACAACTAACAGACTGAATGACATCATCAAAATTGATCATGATATGTTGTTTTATCTTTGTTTACCAAGATAAATTTTAAAGTGTAAATAGACTTCTTTGTCTTTTCATTAAGGATTTTAGTTTGAAAATTGAACAGGCTAAAAGTAAAAGTAGAAATGGTCCATTTGAATTTTTTGAGAAAAAAAGTCCATAGGCTGTAAAAGGTTGAGAAGCACGGCTTTAGATTATCAAATAACGGAATATCTCATAACGAGAATATATTGCGTTTACATAGCTTTTTTTTTTTTTTCATGTTAGCTTTCTTTTGGATATTTTTACTTTTAATGATTTTAAAAAGCAACATTTTTTTTCATTCGACAATAGAATTAATCGTATAGATAAGAAAAACCAAGTAGATTATCCTTGCGCACTTACCTAAAAGTTATCCGAATTGACAGATACCTGAAGAAGGCTGGAAAGCACAACAGCCAAAATGTGGTTATAATAACAAAGATGAAGCCATTAGACAATTTTTCTCTCCAGAATCTATTGTAAATATCTATAAATCTACTATTCATCCATGCTTAGAATATTGCTGCCACAAATAGTCCAGTGCCCTTTCTATTTACCTGAAGCTCTTTGATAAGATCCAAAGAAGAATCAGTGATATTATTGGTCCTGATCTGGCAGCTTAGCTCCGGTCACTTTCCCACCACCGTAAGGTTGCCCCTCTGTCTTTTCTATAAATACTTTCATGGTAATTGCTTGAATGAGTTCTTCATTATAGTACCTAGACTTTTTGAATTTAAGCATCATACTAGATTGGCGTCGGGATCTCCTCAATTTATAGCTAGATGTAGCCATAAATTCTATGCTAGCAGTTTCTTTTCTCACACTTCTCACTTGTGGAACTCCCTTTCGGTTTTGCATCTGCAAAAATTTACATGCAGTGTCAATCGCTATCAACTGTCCTCCTGGTTACTCTCTTTTCTTTCTGCTCATCATTAAGGTTTCTGTTCCTAATTCATCCACACCTAGTAACCTCTTTTGTTTTAATGGCTTTAATGCCTTGTATTGGGGTGATTCAGATTATATATATATATATATATATATATATATATATATATATATGCACTCGATTCTCCTGTCATATTCGACGTATCAGAGTCAAGCAGATCAGTTCCTAGGACAGCCCAACACCATCACATGAGATTTGATTATAGTGGTGAAGGTTTTGTGCAGAGCCATCCACACTTTTTGAAGGTGAATTCAGAGTTGTCCTTCTCCTAGACCAGTTGCCATCCAGTCTGTCCTGATATTTTACCCATAGCTGGAGGGATAAGAAGAGGATTCACACCTTTCCCATAAGTGAATGTAATGGATTCGACTGGAATTCGAACTCTGCTCTCCGATTCTTCAATCTGAGCCACTAAACATTACTCTACTGTGTTTGTTTGTTTTTTAATTCAATTTAATACAAATAATTATATTGAAGTTTTCGGCTCTTGTTTTGAAACATGAGAACTCTTATGTAGCGTGTTGGAATCATATTTTTAAATAAAAAATTTTAAATAAATAATTATATTTATGCTCTACTTTTGTATCGAGCACTATTTTTTAAAAATAATAACAAAAATACTAAATAACTTTGGATTATTTACCTAACGAGTTCTTTCCTATTTTCTATATATTTTTCATATATATATATATATATATTAAAGACATTTTTATGTTTAACGTTGTTATTTATAGATACAAGTATTTAAGCAAATGCTCTGTTTATGATAAACAGTATTAAATAACATTTACCGGCCTGAATGTCCGAGAAATTTTCATAGAAAATATTCGTTCTTTGGCAGGATTCGAACCTGCATCCTATACGGAACCGTCATTTACGCTGACGTGCCTTACCTCTGGGCCACAAAGAACCTTTTCGGTAGACAAGGTCGAATTTACTGCTTATAAACTTCAATCTTCCATGAATCTCGTACATTCATAACTGC